CACACACACACATACAGTGTGTGTGTGTGTGTGTGTGTGTGTGTGTGTGTTCATATACAGGGTGTACCAAAAGCTAAGTCACACGGGCAACTTACTATATAAATTACATTAAATGTTCAAATTGGTTGCCATTTTCTTCTAAACACTTCCTTTGAACATTCCCAGGTACAGTAACATTTTCTCTGAAAAAAATAATAATTTATAGAATATATTGTGATTGGCCTATGAGGCCTGACTTTTGGTACAACACACACACACAAACACACACAAACACAAGCATATATCTGCTGGAAGACACATTTTAAAAGAGAAGGACCAGGACAAAAAAAAAAAAATTGGAATTAATTAATCACTGCTTAAAATTAATTGCCTATGAAACAAGGTACCCATTTATAAAAATGATTCCCACTTATATATACCACTCTTTCTCACACAACATTAATCACTCACACACAGAAAAACATTCCACTCCCTCTATGTAGCAAAAACAGCAAAAAAGAAGGAAAGTACAGGAGGAAGGTATGATAAGAAAGGTAGAGTAGTAGAGCCTATACAGCGGAATGTGGATTGTTTTTACACCCCAGCTGTGGAAGTTGTTAATTTAATTTGTACTGATGTTATGTTTTTATTGGTTTGATTGTACAGTATATATATATATATTTGCATTTTTAAATTGTTATAAGCCTCCCAGAGTCATGCAGTTGAGATGGGCAGCTATATAAATTGAAATAAGATGATAAGATAAGATAAGATAAGATAAGATAAGATAAGATAAGATAAGATAAGATAAGATAAGATAAGATAAGAGTAGCTGCCCTGGGAAGTAAGGAAAGAGAAAGCGGGAGGCAAAATTGGATGGAACTGGAGGGAAAGAAAAGGGAGAGAAGTCCTATTGAATGCATCTAAGTATAGTATCAAAAATGAGTAGGAACCTTTTGGACCTTGTGCAAGAACAGCTCTTCTTTGCTACTAATGAAAGCACCAAGTTCCTTTTCATGCTTCCATGCAAGCTGCATGCCCGAAAAAAGATGCCACTCTTTTAAGGGGTCAACTCTTAAAGTAATGCTATCTTTTCTCAGGCATGTGCAGAAGATTGAAAAAACATGTGATTGGTTAGATACATAACAGAGAGATACTGGGCTTGTCCAATGTTTAAAGCACATTTTCAAAAAATTGTTGAAGCGTGCACCATTTGGGGAGTATTACAAAAGGAGTTAACGTTCATTAGGTATGCAGCATGGATGATCTCTGCCCTTCCCAAGTTGACAGACAATAGCTAAAGTTATCTTCAAAGGCATCCATGCAAGAGATATCTGTCCATTTGCTCCTTTTCAGTGTAAGATTGTCCCTTGAATTCATAAACCAGATCAACAGTTGGGAGAAAAAAACCCCTTCAACTTCCAGTCAGATCCAATATTATATTTTTATCTCATCAGGAATTGACAATACCATTTAAGTTCCTCCTTCACTCTCTTCCCCATTTAATTTGTACAAACCAACATACCCAATAGGGTGCTCATATTTTATGGGCTTCAGGATGGCCAGACATTATACAAATTGTAGCCATCCTCACAAAATGGCTGTCATGGGATAGCCTTGCCTATTCACACAATAGCTGCCATGGTGGGCACAGTCAGTCTGAAAACATTGATCTACCCAAACGGAAACTGGTTGAAACTAAAAGCAAAGTAACTGCAGTATTCAAAAACTTTACAGGACAGTATTTTGGGGGTGGGGGAGGGGGTGTTGAAAAACATCAACTTTCCACACTTCTTTTCTCCAACACCCATTTCCTATTGGGCCAGACTACCAACCTGGTCCTGTTTCACAACTGGATGGGAATTGACGGAGAAAAACTTCCTTCTTCTTGGAAAATCCAGATTCAAATATCCACCAGAAGGGCCGTTCCCCAAATAAGAACCTTGGAAATAAGAGGAAGAGGAAGTATATATATAAGAGGAAGAGGAAATATACATACATACATACATACATACGAATAAATGCTAGGAAGTTTAAGTTTACTTGCCACTTTATCTACCAGTTTACAATTGACAACTACTCTTTTATCATTTATAAGGGCAGTTTTATTCATTAATTCATTTGATTTATATACCTCTTTCCTCTAGGACTCAAGGTGACATATATAGCACTCCCTCCTCCAGTATTTCGCTACAACAACAATCCAATGAGGGACATTAGACTGAAAGAATGTGACTGGCCTAACATGACCCAGAGAGCTTTCAGGACTGAAGGTAGACTTGAACACCAGTTTCCCCAGTTCTAGACCAACGCTTCAACCCCTACACCATGCTGACTCTTATTTTAGAGAATGTGGTAATATTCTTCCATATTAGTGTGGCAATTTACTCTAATTTGTTTTCTTACAGCAGAAGGGGTTGGAAGCCTGTCATTTTTGTGAAGGCTGGGTTATCTGCAAGTGGTCATTGTTTTGTTAACTTCTACTGGACTTATTACAGTGAGAACTAGCTCTCATGCCTATATCTAACAGATATGGTAAGAAACAAAGATAACAACATTTTCCAATTAAATCAAAGTCTCCTTCCCATGCTAATGTAGAAGAACTTTATTTGCAAACATCGGAATATACAAAGAGCCCTTCATGTGCCAATGAAATGCACAAACTGCAGATGGGGGGTGACTGCCAGATATATCTGGGCAAGCTATCCTGCATCGCTCTACATCCCATCTGCAATCTTCTTCTAATGCAGTGTTGTCCAAACCTGGCCACTTTAAGATGAGTGGACTTAAACTTCCAGAGTCCCCCAGCCAGCATGGCTGGCTGGGGA